ATTGCTCTAAGTGCCATCCATTATGCAATTGATGAGAGAACATTTGAGCAAATCAAGAATATTGAGATGGCTCATGAGGCTTGGGAGAAGTTGGAAGAATTATTTGAGGGCACTCAAGCCATGAAGGGTGCAAAGGCATACATTCTCAAAGAGAAGTTTGCAAGCTTCAAGATGAAGGAGGATGAGTGTGCCGGAGATGTTCCATAGGCTTCAAGTGCTTATCAATGATCTCAAAGCACTTGGAGAAGAGGTGAAGGACAAGGACTTCTCCCACAAGTTCTTGAGATGCTTACCTTCAAGATTTGGCACATTAGTCACTATTCTAGTGAGGAGTGGTTTGGACACCATGACACCAAACCAAATGTTGAGAGATATAATGACCGATGATACATCTAGAGATGATGAAAAGAAAGAAAAGGAGAAGAAAGATGAAAAGAAAGATGAGAAGAAGAAGAGTGTGGCATTCAAGGCCACATCATCCAAGGGCAAGGCAAAGCAAGATACATCAAGTGAAGATGATGGTTCATGGGGTGATGATGATGATGAGAAGATGGCTCTCTTTGTCAAGAAATTTGGCAAGTTCATGATGAAGAAAGGGTACCGTGCTAGAAGAAAAAAAATCTTCATCCAAGAACAAGGAAGAGTCAAGAAGGTGCTTCAAATATGGAAGCAAAGATCATCTTGTTGCTCAATGTCCATACAATAGCGACAATGATGATGACAACAAGAAGAACAAGAAGGAAAAGAAAGAGAAAAAGGACAAGATGACCTTCAAGAAGAAGAAGGGTGGTTCATACGTTGGAATAGTGATGCTTCCTCAAGTGATGATGATGATAGTGATGATGACAAGACCACCAAGAAGAAGGCACTTGCAAGCATTGCAATCAATGAGAAGCCTTCTCTCTTCGACACTCCATCATGCTTCATGGCTAAGGCCACTAAGGTATAAATTTGTGATGATGGAAGTGATGAGAAACATGATAATGAAAATGATAGTGATAGTGATGATGATGAACCTACTAAAGATGAATTATTTGACATGCTAGAAGATGCTAAAGAACACTTTGACATTAAGAGAAGGGAATACAAGAGCTTGAATAAGGAGGTAAAAGCCCTTAAGCAAGCCCTTGATGAGCTCAAAGCAACTCATGAGAGGCTAGAGGAAGCCCATGAGAAGCTTGGCAAGGCTCACAAAAAGCTTGAAAAGGCTCATTCCTCTTTGCTTGATGAGCAAAATAAAACGAAGCACGTTGAAACTTGCAATGTAGGCTTGACTTGTGATATAATTGACGAATCATTATCTATGTCTATCATTGTTGCTCCCACTAACCCTTCTTGTAGTACTTCTACTTCCACCTCATCTAGTAGTGATGGTTTCACTTGTGATGCCTCACTAATGGTTGAGAATGGGAAACTCAAGAAGGAGGTCAATAAGCTCACTCACACCTTGGCTAAGGCCTATGGTGATGAGGACCGTTTGCTTATGTGCTTGGGTAGCCAAAGAACTTCTCTCTATAAAAAGGGATTGGGCTATACCCCCAAGAAAGGCAAGGCGGCCTTTGCTCCTCACAAGACTAGTTTTGTGAAGAACAATGGTGTGTTTTGATAGTGGGTACACTCAACACATGTCCGGTGATGCAAGAATGTTCAACTCAATCAACACCAATGGCAATGATGGTTATGATAGTATCACATTTGGTGACAATGGCAAAGGCAAGGTCAAAGGGCTTGGTAAGATTACAATATCCAATGACATGAGCATTTCCAATGTGTTGCTAGTAGAGAGCTTGAACTTCAACTTACTATCCGTGGCTCAATTGTGTGATCTTGGATTCAAATTCATATTTGGGGTAGATGATGTAGAGATCATAAGTGTAGATGACTCTAACTTGATCTTCAAAGGCTTTAGATATGAGAATCTATACTTGGTTGATTTCAATGCTAGTGAAGCTAAATTATCCACATGTTTGTTCACTAAGTCTAGCATGGGTTGGTTATGGCATAGAAGGCTTTGTCATGTTAGAATGAAACAATTGAATAGATTGGTTAAGCATGACTTGATTAGAGACTTGAAAGATGTTGTGTTTGAAAAGGATAAGCTTTGTAGCTCTTGTTAAGCCAAAAAATAAGTTGGAAACACCCATCCTATGAAAAGCATGATGAGCACTAGCAAAGCATTTGAGTTATTGCACATGGATTTGTTTGGGCCAACACAATACACTAGCATTGGTGGTAACAAATATGGCTTTGTGGTAGTGGATGATTACACTAGATACACATGAATATTCTTTCTAGTGGACAAAAATAATGTGTTTGCAATATTCAAATTATTTGTCAAGGGTATTCACAATGAGTTTGAAACAACCATCAAGAGAGTTAGAAGTGACAATGGTATTGAGTTCAAGAACACTAGAATTGATGAGTTGTGTGATGAATTTGGAATTAGACATCAATTCTCGGCCAAGTACACTCCACAATTAAATGACCTTGTTGAGAGGAAAAATAGAACACTCATTGATATGGCAAGGTCTATGCTTAGTGAGTACAATGTGAGTTAATCTTTTTAGGCCGAAGATATCAACACGGCTTGCTATTGTAGCAACCGCCTCTATTGTAACCCATTGAAAGAGAAGACACCATATGAACTCTTGAATGGTAGAAATCCTAACATTGCATATTTTTAGGTCTTTGGTTGGAAATGCTATATCTTGAAGAAAGGCACTAAATTAGGCAAGTTTGACAAGAAATGTGATGAATGATTCCTACTTGGCTACTCCACTACAAGCAAAGCATATAGAGTTTGGAATTTGAATAGTGGTACTTTTGAGTAAGTTCATGATGTTGAATTTGATGAAACAAAGGGTTCACAAGAAGATAATGAGAACTTGGAAGATGTTAGTGGCATTCAACTTTCAAATGCCATGAAGAACATGGATGTTGGTGAATTGAGGCCTATGCAAGTAAATGATGATGAAGATGATCAAGTGCAAGTGCTCTCCAACTAAAATATGCAAGATGATACAAATCAAGCTAGTACAAGTGGTTCTCATGACAATGAACAAAATCAAGTTGCTAGTACATCATCTCAACCCAATGATCAAGAAAGTGCAAGCAATCAAGTTCTAATACTCTAACCAACAAATATTGCAAGGGATCATCCATTGGACACTATAATTAGAGATATTTCTAGAGGTGTACAAACAAGATCAAGACTGGTTTCATTTTGTGAGTATTTCTCATTTGTGTCATCCATTGAACCAAAGAGGATAGATGAAGCATTGAAGGATGTTGATTGGGTGAATGCGATGCATGAAGAATTGAATAACTTCACAAGAAATCAAGTATGGAAATTGGTAGAGAGACCAAAGGGACACAATATGATTGGAACCAAATGAGTCTTTAGAAACAAGCAAGATCAAGATGGGATAGTAGTAAGGAACAAAGAAAGATTGATAGCACAAGGCTATACACAAGTTGAAAGTCTTGACTTTGGAGAAATATATGCCCCGGTTGCTAGATTGGAAGTAAATAGAATCTTGCTAGCCTATGCTTGTGCCCACAACATCAAACCCTAGAAAATCACGCTGGTGGATGAAACAGACCAGAGGCAGATAGATAGACGTACCAGTCGATACGCCACTGGGCACGGCACCCCTCGCGAAGCTACCGTCGCTGAGGCCGATCTCGGGCCAACCTTGCCAAACCCTAGAAAATCGCCTGCCGCTACGGAGAACGAAACGCCAGGAAGAAGACGAAGAGGAAATGAAATGACCAGAAGCGACGAAGAGACCCTCCAATCTCAGGCGCGAGTCCCAAAATACAAATAGTACCGTCGACGGCTAGGACCCACAGGCCAGAGACGCAAAAACAAAGAGACATGCTAGGATTCAGATCTGCAGACACAAGTCAGATCAACGGCCCAAATTTCAGTTGATCACAATCCAAATTTCAACCGGTTGAGATATAGCTTTCTCGTTCCTTTTCGTTCGCAGTTAGTGACGCGTCGTCATCGTCGAGTCATCGCATACGCATACTCAACCATATGGTTTGTGTTCTTTTGCTAGGCATGTGGTGAACGTCTTTTGTTATGTATGCTAGGCGGCCTGGATCCATGTGAGTCATCCGCTTGCTGGCTTTCCATGCCTGCTGCATTTTCACGCACGGCACTTCCATAACTGTGTGAGCCCACAGACATAATCACACGATCCAAATGCATCCACCCGACAGTATTAATTCCAATTCCAAGGCAGACCATGCGCCACGCAACGTTAACACCACCCGGGGTTGTGTTGACACTCAAAAATGTCCTAAGGTGGTTCTGGGCATCACCAACCAGTTGTCCGGCGTCAACAGGTTGGTTGCCTTCCGTTGCGAAATCAATGGAAATGGGGAGATTCCTCGGGTCGAAAAAACAGGTTGGTTGCCAGTGCCACACACTACACAGTGTGATTCACCAGGCATTCGTGTCGTTCTTGGCGACCCATTTCAGTCCTCGGTAATCATTGGCCGGTTTCACCACCGTCAGAATCAAGAAGCATCTGTCCACCGGGTTGGTTGGTAATGGACTATTGGTAAGCTACCTTGATCGCGACCGTCCCTAAGGATTACAGGCACCAGCGTTAGTCAGAATAATCGCCGTTCCAAATCCAAATCCAGAAGGGCATGTTCCAGAACAGAGGGCGACGTTCAAAAAGTCTGACCGATTAGGCTATGGGAAGCTACCCTCTCTCTCTCTCTCTCTCTCTCTTAGAGAAGAGACTGTTTGTTCTCTAGAAGCCGGCGGCAATTTTCGACCTACTGCAGTTGCAGCTTCGCTAAACCCGACGAACGCATCCACCTAGAGCGATCTCGAGCTTTCTCAAAGGAAACTGACAGAGTAATAGAACTAGTCGCCCCCCCCCCCCCCCCGCTCGTGACGTGAAACGCAAGTGAAGGTGATCTTAAAATGGGGTTATGATCGCCTTCTGCCTGACTTCGTAAACGCTGACCAAGGTTAGGTGTTAGTGGTCGACGATCTTGACGGCGACGGGATCGCTGCAGTAGGGGCAGTTCCCGAACAGGATATCGAACGACCTGCCAACACGAGGAAGACAGACACCAGGCTCGTGACAAAATAATTAGAGGATCAACACAGCAACAGCATCACTATGAGGATTTTGGTAACTTCGGTTGGTTCAGACGTACAGCCTGGTCGAGGTGATGGAGCGCAGCCAGTCTCTCAGGCACACGGAGTGGAAGGCTCTGCTGCAGCTGGGGTTCTCGCACGTGTAGTCCGTCGCGCACCCGCTGTGAGCACCGAGTTCGTCATCTGGAGGATCAGAGAAGAGAACTGTGATCAAGATTCAGGGACCATGATGTGAGCAAAAGGGGTTGGATAGTACAGACACATGGTAAATTCGCTCACCAACTGGCAGATGCTTGACATAGCATATCCCACAATCAGCTTGCTCGTCGTCTTTGACGTTACCACCGACCGAAGGGGGTGCAGGCAGTGCATAGTCCAAGACGGCTGCCAAATTCTCAGGGAATCTTTTCTTTGCATCCCTAGTATAGAGAAAAGGTCATATGTTTTAAACACAAATTTTCACATGGCCGTTAATGTAACTCTAGAGAAATTTCAGTTATCTGATCTACTACTGGTATGGACAAGTAGCTGTAGATTTACGGGAAAGAAGATACAGGTCAACAGAGTTCATGTTTAGCACATGTTACATAGGCAAGTTCAGTAAATATATATTTTAATTAATGCAAAAATACATTAGTACGTCTACATCAGTATATAAGAAAACGTGTACAATGCAATGCAGGAAATATGTAGTATACCATTTTTTACGATTCTTTCTCCAATTTAATATCAGCTGATCAAGTTTGCTGTCTGTGCCCAAGAAGCGACACCTGGAAGAAATGGTGATGCATGGGATCAGCCATGGTTGGCTTCAAATAGAGTCCTGAAATCTGACCTTACTCTGGTAAGGAGTTGGGCTTGCGTGCATCAACATGCAACAAAATGTAGCAATCGTCACCTAGTGATTTCAGGCACAAATAGCAATTTAAGTAAACATACATAGAAGGAGCACAACTATTACTTCCAGATGAGTAAGGGGATTACCTAAACATATATGACGATGACACATAGCATAGGATGGCTTTGTTGGATCAACAATCCAAAGGATCTTATCAATCTCGTCCATCGTAGACCAGAACTCTTGTAATATCTTCAGGTGCTGATTGTGTGAACCCAATAATATAGCATGACACAACATAACAATCCATGAATAGGACAACCATATGATTCAAGCACTAAAAAAAGTTCACCTACCGCTTGGAATTGGCAAAGAACATCTTTCAGTCTTGAGCTTTTTGACCACTGTATTTTTTGTGGGTAAGGTATGTCCTGTTAATGAGACAAGTTCAATTATACGGCATATGACTGTGGTTCTGAAATTTCATGCAATGGCAAAATATAATAAAACAAGCCTAGTTTATGGAAATATCAGGATAGAGACTAACTGCAGAGATTGAAGGAGGACTTTCAGGATAGCCCATGGGCAGTGTGATCTCCAGTAAATGAATCCGTCCTGGTTCATCCCTGGCAGATACATAAGCCATAATTTCAGACAATAGAATAAAATTAAAGAGATGCCCAAAGAAACGCTGCTACACTTGCGATTGTTGTTCATATGCATTACAATGTTCAGGCAGGTTTCTGAAACAACCTTTTCGAACAACTATCAAACTGACAAATTTCAGTATGTAATACATGCGCTAGCCTTGCTCAACCGCCTCAACGGCAGTAGTTTTTTCTCCAAGCAATCGTACACTATAAATATATAGAAAGAGGTTAGTGCCGATTGGCAGCACATGAGAGGAATCCTTACACGACGCGGAAGGTGAGACATGATACTCCATCGTCCCCTGTGGCGCTCACCACCTGCTCCCACCCGATCTCTTCGATCTGCACGCGCAAACGTCCAAATAGAAAATGAACAATGTCACCAGCCCACACATGGGGGAAAAAAGAAGGAAACCCAAATTTTTTTTGAACCGATTCCCTTGCGGCATCAGTCGGCGCAGGCATTTCGTCGAGCGGCTGGCGTACCTGCGCGAACACGGAGCTGTAGAACGCGGGCGGCCGACGGGGAGGTGGGCCCGCTTCCGCCTGCGCATCCTGCCGAGTATCCGTTTCAACCTCCTCGCCCGCCCGCGCTTGCGGTCTCGCTGGCGCGCGCGAGAGTGTAGCCGACAACTCCATTGCTAACCGGCGCCAATCAGCTTCTTTGCTGGTGTTATAATCCGTATTTTTTAATTTATTTTTAGTTAAAATAATATTTTTTTCTCACAACAAATTAGACTGAATAGTGTTTCGGCTTTTTTCATACAAGCTAACTGAGCCCATGGAAGTTGTTCCACTCGAGAACCGAGCGGGCGCTCGGTTGGTCAGCTGAGCAGGGGCTCAGGCTGCCCGCCCGCGGTTCGAGCGCTGGCTCCCGCGCGGCGCCTTACCTCTTTAGTATCCGGCGACTCCCCGTGTGTTCAAAAAAAAAATGTTCCACCCCAACGCGATACTGACGGCGGAAGCGGAAACTGCGTGAGGACCATCCGAGAGGTGCCGTGCCGACGATTAAAGGCCCAGATTTCCCTGGGCTCAAGACAGTCCGAGCCAAACGGGCCCATATCAGTCACGGTGAGCGTACATGCACGGCCCAGTCCACCTGACAGGAGACCGCCGCCGCCCAGAAACCCAACCCAAGTCACGCAGACCTCTCCGCCGCTATGGAGTCACATAGAGCCGACACTTCTTCCCCTCCTGGCCGGCCGGCCGGCGGCCGGACTGCGGCACCGCTCCTGATCGCGTAACTCGTAAGTAAAGCCCCTCCTGCACAACCCAGCCTCGTCTCGTCTGCTGGTGGCGTGGCATGGTGCTGCTGCTGCTCAGGGACCTGATTGAATTGTATGGTGCGTGCAGAATCGTACTCACCCTTAAAATAGTTTTTTGGAAGAGTAAAGCACATTGGCACTTTGGCAGTGGATTTGTTGGGTTGTCTAGCCTAGTTCGGTAGTCCTCCGAGCTATTTATCTACGTCTTCACTCTAGTCGTCCAGACGTCTCTGATTAGTATTGATCTGTTTAATTTCGCCCCGTTCGGCTTACTTCAAATCCGGCTTCAAATCCGGCTTGTTCGACTTTTTTTTTTCAACCGGAACAGTATTTTTTTCTCACAACATTTTAGCTAGAACAGTATTTTTCAGCCAAGATTCAGCAAGCCGAACGGCGCCAGCGTCCATGTTACTGAATTTTCACAATTAATCGTTCATATCATCATTAATCACACGTAAAAGTAAAACTCAATAGGACCCATAGATGGCTGGTAGGAATGCAGCCAAAAAATCTACATTCCAAAAACAATAATAAGGCCTTGTTTAGATGTATACGAATTCACATCAATCCACGTGTATTGGAGTGAATTGAAGTATAAATTAACTAAATTCCACCCTAATCTAACCCAACACGTGAATTGAGGTGAACCCGACGACATCCAAAACCTAAAGTGTATTGTAAAACCAAAGTCGAAAATGGGATGTGAACCCAGGACTTTGGTGGTGGCCAATTAAATGGAGAAGAGGGAGAAAGTCAAGAGTTCAAACACTGTAGTAATCCATTCAATGTCTTCCTATGTAACAGGGGAATCACTTTCAGGCTTTCAGCTGATCAGCCTGTTCGCTTGTTGGTTTCAACCAGGACTTATCAGCCAGCCAATAGTTTTTTCCTCTAACAACAAACCAGTACTAGCCGAACTTATCAGCCTAAAAACTAACCAGCGAGCAGGCTCAATGTAAGAAGTGAAAAACAAGCAAGAAAGTGAATAACAGAGAACTCTCATTCCTCTCTCATTGTGTCCCTCTGTTCTTGTGCTTGTGATTGTGTGCCTAGAACTCGATTTCTCAATAAAGTGCACCAACTTTCCCTAATTTTGTTTGGTGATTGTTTCTAGGCCAGTTTTTGACTATCGAATTGTAAAATGGATTTCATTATTGTGCTTCTCTTGCCGAGATTAACAGGGTCCCTCCCTCCCGAGCATTCTTTGGCTCAAGCCTGTCGAATCTGGTCAGGACGATTCATGAAAACTGATTAGATCGGTGTTGCAAGGAGCTCCCCTGTCGTCAGAATATCATCGGCAGTCTTCCGAGGGGTTCTCCACGAAGGTAGATTGATCGATAGAGCAGCGCGTGATCAAAAACAAGAATGCAACAGAGACACACGAGTTATACAAGTTCAGGCCGTCAGTATGACGTAATACCTTACTCATGTGGTCTGTTGGTTTGTATTAGCTATCGTATGATATGCCGTGATTTTGAAGGGGGTCCCTGCCCGCCTTATATAGTCCGGGGGAAGGGTTACAAGTCAGTTAGATCTGAGAGATAACCGGAAAGTAATAACAGATTACAAGAATCATGGGACCATACGTGTCCTAACAGATCTCGTAGTATCTTCAGGATATCTTTCCCATGTCTTGCGGGAGGCGCCGAGCAGAATCGTGCCCCGCAAGGCTTCGTCTCGTGGGCTGGGCCGCCCCTGGGGGCGCAACCCATGTGGTCTGCCGTGGGTATCCGGGGTCGTACCCCCCACAGCTAGTCCCCGAGCATCTTGTACCGTTGTGCAACGCCGTCTTGAGCTTGTCCGAGCAGGTGCGAACCAAAGCCGAGCAGTCCAAACTCATGGTTCGACCACCGTGACGAGTCGCCGAGCAGTTGTGAGCAGTTGCCGAGCAGCGTGCACCATCGCCGAGCAGCGTGAACCGTAGCCGAGCAATGTATCCCACGTATGGCTTGCCACAAGGGTGTAAGGAGCTCAAGTTCAGAATTGAAAATTTCTTCCAAGTGGACCAAGTGTGCCCACTTAGAGTCCGACCACGAGGAAAGGAGATAATCGTCTTCGGCTTCCAGAGGCACGGAGTCTTCGAAAAAAAAACAAGCACATTCACGAGCAAACAGCCAGTCCCCGGGCGTAGCCCAAAAATGAGATAAAGCACATTCACCGCAAGGTGAAGTGTGCCCACTTTGTCCCCGAGGCTGACAGTAGGTGACACAGTCACGTGGTGTTAGGGTCAAAAACAGAGCAACAATTACAGACCAGCCGAGCAGGCAGCCAGTCCCCGAGCTCAATAAATGGTGAAGAAGTTGGCGATTATTCGGCAGATAACAACTGACGGCGACGATAAATGCGCGACATGGGTCGCAGTTACATGGAGGCCCAGATAACGGCCCATATGCTGCATCGGAGAAATCGGACCGGCGCATATCGTAGGAACGGTTTCCCAAAAACCCTCGGCCGTGACATAGTTGATGAAGTGCTTTATAACTGCGCCGCCACACCCCACGCCCCCCACCTTTGCCATTCTGTCGTATCATCTTCCTTCTCCGCTCTTGCGCTTCCCAATCCGCATCGACATGCGCATCCACCTTCATTCTCAAACCAGATCTGAGAGAATGGCGCCGAGCAAGGGAGCTACGAAGCCGAGGAAAGAGGCCGTCGGAGCCAGCCGCGATGAGGAGTGGGTGCCGTCGAAGATGGGGGAGGCGAAGCTCAACAGAATGGTGGCAGCAGGCGTTCTTCCAGACCGCGTCACCGCCGGATGGCGGCCAGCCCGCGGTGAGCCCTTCCCGACACCTCACACTGATGAAGCTGTAGTATTTGAGGATTATTTCTGGCGAGGATTGAGGTTTCCTGTTCACCCCTTCCTGAGGGACTTGCTGGAGTTCTGGGCGATTAGACAATGCAATCTACATCCAAACACCATACTGCACGTCTCAGTCTTTATCCATTTCTGTGAGGCGTTTCTGGGGATTCTTCCACATTTCAATCTCTTTAGACACCTTTTCTGTTTGAAGAAGAAAGGCGGTAGTGGTTCCAAAGTGGTCGGTGGCGTGTACCTGTAGCTCAGGGATGGGATGACCAGCGAGTTCAACAATGTACCGCTAAACACTTCTCTGAAAGGTTGGAACGCCAGGTGGTTCTACATTAAACAGAGTCACCCGGTGATACGGTGCGACATCCACCACATCCCGGAGAGCCAGAGTAGCTGGTCAGAGAGACCAAACAGCGCTGACATGGAGCAAGTGAAGGAACTCCTTGATTTGATTAAAGGCATGGAGATTAGAGGAGAACTGGTAGCGGCAAGCTTCATAGTGCGCCACGTCCAGCCCTGCAAAGAGAGGGCCCACCCGGGCTTTGACTACACGGGTGATGACGATGGCACCCGGGAGATGACAGAACAACTGACGAAGAAAGAAGTAATAGCTCGGGCCACAGAGCTATTTTCTTCCAACGCCTCATTCAGCTGGCCAAAGCAAACGAAGGCCTTCAGTTGTATGATCCCGCGTCCTCAGGTAACCATATCAATGTACTTTGCTCATATTGCCTGACGGTTGCCAAACAGGAAACTGACTCACTCATTCGGAGATCCACTTGCAGGATAGGGTGGTGTACTTTTTGAGCATGCCAAGAGCCGACTGGCCACCAGCCGTCGATGCCCGACCACTAGCTCAACCTGAAGAAAGTTCCGTCAACATTTCCTCGGAGTCCAGAGGTGTTGACATTGATCAGGTGGAGAGTGCTCCCCCGGCATCGGAGAAAGTCCGGGGGAAGAGGCCAACGGCATACGAGCCGGCCCAGAAGAAGAGGAAGACATCGACTATCGCTCCCCGCAAATCAGGCAACATCTCACTTGGTGGTGACCAGACCACTCGAACGCGAAGAACCGCGGTGATCGAGTGGTCGGACGATGACGAAGTTCCAGTGTTCCCTCCACTGAGCACGAGGGAGCCTCCACGCAGCACGCGCGCACGTGATCAATCAAAGGTGGGTGAGGAAATCCCTGAACCGAAGATGAGGGAAATCCCTGAGCAGTAGGTGAGGAAAACTCCTGCACAAAAGACGATGGGAGTCCCAACGGAGCGAGCGACGGAAGTCCCCGAGCAACAAATGGAGGCGAACCCAGAGCAGCAGGCGGAGATGGGCCCAGAGCGACGAGCAGAACAGACATCGACCGAGGAGGAGCCGAGACCTCCCCAGCAGAGCTTGGGAGTCGACTCCACAGCTGTGCCTGGAGGCTCAGGCAGGCATCGCCGGTTCAAGAAGCTAAACCGGTAGACCAAACCGTAAGCATCCTTGTCTTGAAGTTATGTTGTTGTAGTTATTTAACTTTGGTGGTGACTAACGAACTATTTTGATGCAGTGCAAACCAAACTACGG